CAGCTTATTTAAATAATAAAACATATTTATGTATTTTTTTACATAACAATTCACAAATAATCATCTAAATCAAATATATGTATCTCTTTTATAATTGTATCTTAACTATGTAAAATTAATAACGAGTCGGACAAGTTCTTTGTAAAACCTTATGTCCAAGATGCTAGAAATCGGTCCAAGATCTCGGATGGAGAAAGAATTGATCAATCGCATTATAGTTGTGACCGAACTGTTCAAATGTGATTTGTTAATTCTTTCTTGTGTTGATATCTAGCATTGTGGAATTGACAAGGCTTAAAAGAATATTTGACTGTGGAAGCTGTGAAACGCCTTAACGTTAAATAATTAATTGTAATCAATTTATTATACACAAAATAAGTTCTTCTTCATAAGTCTTTAGTAAGTATATCTTGATGCTAATAGGGATCTCACTAACGTATTTGTATAACTTCATATATTTAAACTATAAATACGAATATTTGCTTAAAACGGCCATTGCACGCTCGATAAAGATATAATCTGCATTACGAAATAAAATATTAAAGATATCCATTTAAAGATTATCTTTGTGAATAAATTCAAACGAGTAAAAAATTGACTACTGCTATGTAATGGTGATAAATTAATGTTACATGAAAGAGATTCCGAGAGTTGTGCAGGATGCATATGAAAATGAAACGTCAACAGAAATGCAAACGCTTTTAAATTCAATATTTTGTCTATACTTTTATATACGGATAAGATGGAAATGATCTAAGTTAAAGATTTAATCGAAAATCTCTTAGATGCCTCCAAGGGGGTGGATCAGGGGGTGGAGGCAAAGGGACTGGTTACGGGCGGCAATGGCCTCTCTTCCTACCACCTTCGTTACCATCCTCATCCTCGCCACCCCTTCGTACTTCCGTATAACGTTCACCCTTTACACTTACGATCTTATTGTCAAGATACCGTACCAACTTCTTAGGCTCCGTTTTCGGCGCGACTGGACGGTGTTCTCGACAATCGTCGTCCCTATCAACATAACTGTATCGTGCGATGATACGAGACTTCAACTCCTCATCGTTCAATCTTGCCTTGTTACGACCGTTGGGCTGAAACAAATGAATGCCATTTAAATCATACTGTTTTTATACAATTAAGCAACGTCGCTATGAAATCTCACCGTTAGAAACGTGAGATTGCTCACGATGCTTTGACCCGCTTCCTGACGATGTAATGCAAGTTGCGCGGCTTTCGCTATATCGCCTCCAGCCACTGCTAAACAATGCCTCGCTTCGGCAGGACTCGCCGCTGGAAACATCTCTTGCAGTAGAGCCACCTGATGCCAAGAAGATTCCTGAAAAAAGTTACAATAGATGCTCGAAAACATATCTCGTACACGTCCACGTCTTCTCTTACTTCTGTTCCTCTTACTTCTGAAAAGTATTCTCCACTGGAATCGCTTCCAGCGTCACTCGTTTCCGAGAGATGATGGACTCGCATTCTTTGTGTACCGGCCGGCAGTAGAGCAGCCAGACTGATGTGATTCAACGGATCACTGTGGGACTGGCAATTCTCATTCTCCTTACTCTCCTGCTTCAACTTACTCTCTACATCGAGCAACCATTTCGACACAGCCTCTTTCTCGATAGTAGAAAACTCAGGAAGGCAGGCAGATACCATTTCGCATAGTCCGTCCACATCTAAGTTCTCTTCCAATGCACTTTCTTCTACCATACTCACTACATAACTGAGCACAATGTCGTCTATTAAACTAAAACAAGAGGATATCTATTAATGTCTTCATCATAGTAAAAAATTTATTGGAGAAGAATCAAAATAATGTAGACATTTACAAAGCAGTGGTAATCTGGTTTAGTAAAAACAATAATAATTATTACATAGAATGTCATATAAATGATAATTCACACTGATTATAACATCAGTAGTTGTTATCAGTAATTTACATCAATTAGCAAAAAGATACAGACATATAGAACCGATTTTAAGAGGATATGTAAATGTTTAAAACGTTATACATTTGTATTACCAATTTGAAATAAGGCAACTAATGCCGCCAGTTTACAACAAAGAATTATTCAATGTAGATATAGTTTATAAGATAAATTAAAACCACTTCTTGTATAAACGAAAATACATTTTAAGAAATTATTACAAATGTAATTATGGCTGCTTTCCTTTTACGAGACATGTTGATTCATTGAATGTTAAAGGCTAGAGCTGTGTTCTGTTTCATGCATGATGCGCATGGTACATCATTTAGCCTTGTTCGGTGAATAATAAGGATAAATGATACATCATGCGTATCATGCATGAAACGGAACGCAGCCTTGAATGATGTTTGTATCAACTGTCTGCTAAAAGGAAAACAGCCTATGATTATTAAACTAGATTAATGAAAATAATTATAGAGACGAAAAAGAACGGGTCTGTACCTCAATTGAGCGGTGGGTACCTGCTTCCTAACAAAACTAAATAAGGCCTTCTTCACCAGTTCCTCCTTCTCATCCATCGTCCGACTCATCCTGCAATCGTCAAACCCGTTAATACGTATCCTTCGGTAAGGCTAAAAATATTCGATGAAATATCAACGATGTTCGGATATTCGTATGACATGAAAGCAAATCCGACCAAACACTCCCGCGGGTTCCCGACCTTCACGAGCGAGGCCGTTCTCAAAGGCTCGATCGCGGTCTCTCGCGGAGTCGCGGTTGGTCGCGGTCTGACTCTGACTGGCGATGCGACGAAAAACGTTCCTCGCGCGTACGTGCGATAACGTTCATTGATCCTTTAATATAGGTTAAGGGAGACGAGAGGGCAGCAGGTCTCTAATTCGTCAGCGGTCAGCCCTCAAGCGCCCTTACGCGCGAGATGCTCCGACGACGGTCCCTCGAGGAGCGAGACAGAAGCGATTGATTGCGATCGATCACGCGGAATATTTGCATCGCATATAAGATGAGGTGAATAAATCGATAGGTAAATAGATAAAAAGGATAGATGAACAGAAGGGATATTAGGGAAAGCGATAATCGGAGTGCTTGGCGATGACAGAACGGTGGATCACTGATGGCACAAACCGCGCCGGTCATCGTTCGTTCGCAACACGAAAAATTTGGCACAAAACGCGCCGGTACGAACCTGATCCTGAAACCAGGCTACTTCAATCGGGACACTCGAGTTTGCCTGCAACGCCAAACAGCGAAGATAAATTTCGTATACAAACAACGCTAGTCGATTTGACAGTTTGACGAGGGGAGGGGTGGACGCGTAGAGTGGCGTAGAGATCCTCAAGGTAGAGATCAGACAACGCCGACTATTCCGTGATTGGTTCTGCCATGTTGTTATGAGAGCGAATGTTGAGAGAGAGAGAGAAAAAAGAGAGAGAACGTTGGTCTGCGCATGTGCAGTAAGTTTGTAGAGTTAAAATATCCATTTTTGAAGCTGAAAAAATCTTCCACAACTCACGCAGATTGTTTTTATGTTGTATACATATGTATGTACATATTTAAAGGTACCTCAAACACTGAACTATATATACGCTGGAATGGGTATCGAGGAAAATTCGTGGATGCAATTGATCAGCCGCCATTTTAGTTGGGACGATATTTGAGCGAATCAGAAGCATTCGCGCGCGCGTTGCTATCGATGTATCGATCGATGTATGGAAATCTATATGGACATGAATGGTATATAAACAAAAATAATGTCACTTCAATTATTTTTATCTATGAAATGAAAGGCCCTTTTTACTTCATGTTGATGCTTTGTAGACAGTCACGCGATTTTATAATCCTTCAAATATAACCTCACACACGATAATCGTGCTAACATATGCGTCTTACTTCTTCTTCGCGTGAGAATGGCCCCGACTCTAAGTCCGAATCTACAATAGGTGTTTTAAGATTTAAGCCATAAGAAATTGACCAATTACAGTCGAATACGAGGAGAATAATTGATTGTGATTCGTCCATTCCTTATGGCTTAAGACTTAAAAATCTATTGTTGATCCGGGGTTACAGTCGAATATCAGGAGAATAATCGACTATTCGTCTATAATCTATTCCTTATATGTACTTTTTCATGCTGACGCTCGACGTTCATTTTCAGCTTTCAAAATAGATCACGTGATAAAAATTGACGAATATCGAACGTCAATTTTGATCAATGATTTAGTTTGCCATTAAAAATGAGCGTCAAGCGTCGGCTTAAAAAAACACTTTAATGCCTGTATTCATAGTCAGACCTTGTATTTAAGGCTTCCTTAAATTTATCTTTAGATGCTCAGTAGTCAATGAAATAATTCGTAGAGTGAAGATAAATTTAAGGAAGTCTTAAATATAAGGCCTGACTATTAGCGTTTTCGGCCCGGCCAGGTTTGCACCAACCTGGATTAGATTAATGGCGTTTTGTGCTCTCCTATTGGTAGAGCAGGTGACGTCAACTAATAGGAAAGATTAATCCAACCTAGGTTGGTGCAAACCTGATCGAGTCGAAAACGCTATATGAATACGGGCATAAGGGCCTTAAGGTTTAAATACCTATTGTAGATCCGGGCTTACGAAAAGTAAGCGCGGTTCCTAACGATTTATTTCAATAGTATAACTCAATAACTTCAATAGTAGTGAACTTTTAATTTTAATTAATATCTCGCTTTGCGGGAAAGAGCGACATTTTTTCTACCAGATTCTTTCATTTCATGCAAAAACGCGTCGAATAAGCAGCTAGTCATTCAAATTGAAGTGGAAGGGAACATTCTGAAAAATTATCAGTTTTCAATTTTAACGATTAATATCTCGATTTTCGAGACAGAGCGACGTTTTCTTGTAAAATCTTTATTTTTACGTGAAAACATATTAAGTGTATTTTTATTAAAATTTGTGATGACCGAAATATATTCTTAACATTTTATTCTGAAAACTTATATTCAAAGAAAAGCGTATGTCTATAGGAATTTTAATTTGGGAATTTGATCTTCCAAATTTTCTTTTCAATTAGTTTTATTTTTTTCAGTTGAATATCAAAGATGTCACATTTACAACTATCAACGCATCAACGAACAGAAAAAGCTTACATTTTAATTTACACTCGTATAAATTTAAGACTCGCATTTTTCTCGCATCTCTTTATCAAGACACCCTATACGTATAATAAATATTTTAGTTAGTATATTCAGAACTGCATGTTGTAATAGCCGTTTATTTGTGAAACGTATCATCATTTATTACAATTTACATCTATAATTTAGTCACGTACAATGCGAGTATCGCCAATGACAATTTATTCGGCATATATCCAATATATAAATAATTACAATTCGCAACGAATGGATACATAATATATTATCATTTTCATCAGACAAGATAAGTTATACAACACAAGTCTAGAGTTTAAAAATTCAGATTTTCACAACATAAAATCCACGTCCATTGACAAGACAATCAAATTCGTTATAGCGGACACTATATTACTCTTTTAAAAATAAATGCGCAATCTATAGCAGATGCTTGTATCATTTGTATATATACGAAGTTAATACATGTAGATTTAAATAAATATATACATTGCGAGAAAAAATACGCGTTCGACTAGCGGAAATATCTAATGTATTGTACCTTCTTTGAAATTCTTCAAACTCTATATAGTAAGATTTAATCTTCGATTAGAGATCTCATGGTTACAACAGCAAAATTAAAGGTAAATTTTCTAAAGTATTCTTAATAGATTCCAAAAATAACAATCTGTTTTGTTTTGGTTCTTGGTTCTCATGTGATGACTCTGATTCAGTTTGTCGTTATAATGCATTTTTTCGCTCGAGTTTTAAAAAAACAAATTGCAGATTCTTAGTACTAGTTTCCATTGAAATTTGTAGTATAATCCAATTATTACATAGATTATAAGATATCTCTATATCTTATTTTACTATGTCATTTTCTTTTCTCTCGAGGACTGTTTCTCATTATGCTCGATTTCATTGTCCTCGACAACGTCAGCGTCATAATCAAGAGACTCTTTTTTATTATTATCTTTATTACAACTTAATTCTGGTTCTTCGACAATGTCTTGCTGTTGCTCTAGAAAATCTGTAGGTACAAACTCCATTTGGTCTTCATTATCGTTTAAATCTGGCGGAGCTGGCAGTTCACAAAAATGTAGTCTCTCGTCTCCGTCGTTCATTTCCTCGCCACCTGGATCGTCTTCCTCGTGTAAACTCATAAGTTTTTCAAAGTCTGAGGAAGCTGTGACTTCATTATTCTCTGAGAATATTTCCGTCGGGCTAAGAGGTATATCTAAAGGCTCCAGTTTTACAGTCGCACATGGAGACGTTGGCGTGATGGGTCGCTGCAGACGTATTTTGGTAAAAGGTCTTGACTCTACAGATTCGGACTGTTGTCGCTTTTGCGCACGCTTAGGACTAGAAGACATAGACACCCTTGAAGGTGATGTTTTATTCTCTTTGGATTCGGTGGTACCTCTAGGAACTACATGTTGAGACGACAATGGCTTCGTTTGAGGTATAAGTAACGGTGATTTTGTGTTCTGTCGATATAAAAGAATATAAATAAATTAAAAATTTCCACAGACATTGACTAATGTAATTATAATAAATCTAATGTCTGACTTACTTGAGACGAGGGACTAGGACCGGCTAGTCCCTTCACTTGTAACGCTTCGGCGGCATTCAGTAGTTGCGGCAATTTATCGTGAGCGACGTTGACTTCTCCGCGGTACATGAATTTAACCAATGCTTCCACCTCCCAAAATTTCAAATCCTTCATTAGAATAATAGGATGTTGACACGGATTTTCCCGTAACAAGTCTGCCAGGTAGTCGCTGCAGGAAGATAAAATCATTTTATGACATTTCAGAGACCGCCCTTCACACGCCAGGGTCACATCGACGAACTGTTCTGTGTCCAGTAACGACGGGAAGCTATTCTGCATATTACTATGGTAACTGTTCCACCTTAGGCAAACCTGAAACATGGAGAAAAGGACGAATTTAGTAGAAATCTCTGTACCAAATTATACTTTCATCTTATAACAAATATAATATTCACAATGAATCTACGTACTTCTGTAGGTTGCTGATGCACGACATTGTGGGACCCTTGATTAGTTTGTCGCGATGGCATTTTGATAGTTGTAGGTGCAACTTGTTTCACTTTCAACGGAATAGTTTTTAATACGAGAGTCTTTGGTTGCCGTTGTTGCTGCTGCTGCTGTGATTGCTGTTGCTGAGGTAGCGGCGCTGGTGCGATGTTACGAATGTGAGGTCTCACTAAGGATTGCGTTGCGATCCTTATTGCTTTCGTACTTGTACTGCCTTGGGACGTTGACTGTAAAACTAGGACAAAAAAATAAATTTGTCATAAATGTGGTATATGTAAGTCGAAAGAATGCTGCGAATAGAATAACAAGAGTAATTTAAATAGCGATGGTAATTAATTTAGATTTAAATTCTGATTATGAACGTTGAATTCTGTAATTCTAATTATCTACTTGAAGAATCATGTAGTTAGAAGAATCGTTTAATCAAAATCATTTCATTAAAAGTTGAAAAACTTGTGACAATAAATTTAATTAAAATTTCATTTCCATTAGAATTAGAAATTGTAGGATGTAAAGTTTAATGCCCATTTCTACTAACGAATGATTAACTTTAATCAGTTTGCATTTCTAAGTTCGAAAAATTAATTCAAAAAACGCGAGCAATTCAAGAAATTACGAAATATGATATACAAATTCACACAAAATTATTTAGAGCACTTAAGATCCAGCTTCGACTGTCATAAGTTTCGTTTCTTGCCTGTTGTGTATTCACATTATAAGTAGCGCTTCTAATAAATCGTTTATTATAAATAAAATATAAAATATTAATTGAGAGAGAGAGAAAGAGATAAATTTATTAAGAAATAAAAATGAGAAAATAAATATTTTATAGTTGTATTTATTACATGTAATAATCTTTTATTATACAATGTTAAATTGTAAATACATATTTGACTAGTTGAAAAAGATGTATCACAAGCATTAACAAAAATTTTAATATTTCACTTATTTGTTATAACAACAATACAACTTGGATAACTAGTCTAATTACGCCGTAAATGTATTTAAATATGCGGATATTTTGTTATACATTAATAATCATATGAAATAAAATATGAATATCTGTGTTCCGTACAGTCTGTCCACCGAACATTGTCATACACGTTACACGTGTACCCGTATATTTCAAATAACACATGTATAACCCTGTATTGAAATACACAGATATGCGTTTTAAACATATGTTTTCCAATACACGTGTATTCGTGTATTAAAAATTACATGGATTAAAACATGGATATAAATATTAATTACACGTGTAACACGTGTATTTAGATAAACGTGAAATAGAGATCACTATTAGATACAATGTATTCGATCGAAGGAAACTAATTTCAAGCAAGAAGACATCAATGACGTTATTTGTTCTGTACAAAAAACGCTATTTTAATTCATATTTTTCAAGATTACAGTTTTATCAATTAGGTTGCAAAAGTCTTCTTCGTCTTCTTATATCAAGCCTGTATTACATCTTAGTGAAAAAACTTTAAAAACTTGAAGAAATTTAGAAAGTACCCTAATGACACGGTATTTTATATTTACCATGATAACGTCTGCCGATCAGTCTGCCTCCGTGATGTACCCTGAGATGCCGGTGCAGATTTGTCGTGCCGCACTGGCGCGGATTTGCACCACCTCTGACGACGACCGCCCCGCAGATGCGGCACTGGGCACGCAACGGATCGTTAGTGCATAAATCGAAGTGTGCCCAGACCGCGCTGGGGTTCGCCATGGCACGTAGGCTGCGCGCGTGGGAGCGTACGCGGTGCGTGACGCTTCCGTGCCGACCAGACGATGATGACGAGGACGACGTCGGCGGCAATGCCGTCGGCGGTGGTGGCGGTGTCGTTGACGCAGCCGGCATGCTTGATTCGTCGAGATAACAGTCTTCCTCGTCCTCCGGTTCCTGCTTCATCGCCGGGCTCCCCCTGATATTCACCGTGGAGGTCGCCGTCGTCGTCGCGACGTTACGCTCTTTGATACCGCTGCGCCGCAGGTTGACAATGTTCGGTGGACAGACTCGACGCGACCCTCGCCTCTCTGAAACTTCCCCGAACGAACGATCCGATGAATTTGTGAGTCATCACCTCTCACCCGTGTCACCGACATTTCATTTTTTTTTTTTTTTAATGACTCGGTTAATAATCGTCGCAGACATGTTTTATGATACCGAAGATTATAGTGTTTTATCGGGTTCAGTCGTTACGTAGGTACGGCTCTGCGCTGGGTATTCCTTATCGTTTAAATGTCGATATAATCGCCGCTGCTTTTTATAGGAACACACGACTCACAGTAGCGCGGCATTAAAATAGGCGTCACACGCGCGCTGGGCTTGATGGACGTCTCTGCACTGGGATAACGGAAAATAAACAACAAGCTTAATCTTTATAGAAGAGGGATGAAGGATTCGTCCGCGTAAATTTCTTAATCCTTACCCTACTAACGATCACCACGGCTGCTAAATGAAAATAAAGCGATAAATGATTAGATTGTTCAACAAAAAAGTACGAAGTCATGATCAATATTTAAAAGAGTCCTGAACATTTAAGAGGTTTTAGCCGTCACGTCGGTCGGACACCTTGGGTAATGCTAATGTCGGCGGTAATGTAACTTTTAAGCATTCTAACTTGAAAAGTATTTAATAAAAAAATATTTTATTATAGTGTTTTGTGAAAAGCTCTCGAGGTAAGCTACGAATATGTAATTAATTATGAGAATATGCGATAAAAAATGGGGGGTTCCGTTTAAAAACTTCAAGGTAATCTTAATTGACAATGTCATCCAAAGTCAAACCGATGTGTGATTGGTACCATCTTATATCCCCCTCGAAGTCACATAACTTTTGTCTGAAACCTTTTTCAATCATGTGTCACCTTCTCGAGATCATCCAGGACATTCTAGGATATCAATTAAAATGAAACACCCTATATATATATATAGCCGTAAAGATTGAAACAACGCAGAGATCGGAACAACGAGAGATTTCTGAGATCATTTGGAGACGAAATCCTAATACTAAAATGTTGAGAGAAAATACTTTTTTTTACATAATAAATATCAATAATTAGAAATATCAGTAATTGTATTTTCGCATACACAATCTTTATATTGATATTTACAAGAGGCAATAATTAGCTTTCACTTTTAGCATTTTACGTCGTACTATACACGAATACGCAAATTTTAAGCGGTATAATTTGCTGACTTTAAATAATTATAATTCAAAAATTATTATAGTCTCAACATTTTGAGAATATAATTTTCATCTCAAAATAATTTTACGGATTTCCTCTTAAACGTTGTTCCGGTCTTTACACCCTGTATATATGGATAGATAGATGCCTAATCAAAAACTTCCTTAGATAAAACCATAAAAATTGACAGATATTTGATCCGTTTTCTGTTCCTGCACTAGATTGCTCTAGAACTCTTTTTCTCGCTTTCGACAAATATTAAACGTATATCTATCTCACTTTAAGTTCTAAAAGTGTACACTAGTTCAGTCACAGAAAACAGACCTTTGGTTGCACCATTTGAAAGCTATTTTGTGTTTAATCGTATTGAAAAATATCTATCTATTCGCTTTTTAATAACTGTACTTTAATACTTTTATGCATAGATTAATGAAATAAGTCAGTTGATGTAAAGAAAATAGTTTTAAAATAAGATGTAGTTTCCAAGTATGTATATTGCAAATTGCATATTTTTTCAAAAAGTAGTAAAGTAATATAGTCTTTTGTTTACATCAACAGATTCAACTCATTGATCTATGCATTAAAATATAGTTGTAAAAAAATAAATAGTAGATAAAGATATTTTTCAATTTAATTAGATCCAAAATAGTAATTTTCGAATGATGCTATAGCAAAATCTGTCCATTTTTTATAATTTCGTCTGAGGAAATTTTTGATCAGTATCTCATAATCTACAAAATATCAGTTTCATCAAATTTAACCATTTTTCAAATAATTAATACGGGGTGTTTTTAATAGTTGTAAATTTAATTAAATCCATAATTTAAATTTTAACGCTTTTACAATAAATTAAATTTTGATTCTTACAATTATATTTTTATACTCATACAGCACAGAAGTTTGCAGCAATATTGTTGCAACATTGCATGTTGCAATGTGATATTTCAGAAATATTGCTTAAATATAGATATGCAACATGATTTTACGTTGCAATAATATTTTTAAAAAGTTATGAGAATAAATAAACTACTTTGAGCTTAAATACTTGTGCATGCATGTACAGTTTATGATTCATCAAGTTTTATCTAATATCAATCAATTTTACATATATTATTATTTACACTTGTGATTAAATAATTATGTATATAAAAAATCTTTTATCACGAATGACATTACAAAATATTCCGGTAAAAAAATTTTCACAGTACACAATCTTATATAACATTATATTCAATTTAATATTACATGTAAATATATAGCTGCATACTCTAATTACTCACGTAATTACATAATTTTAAATAATGCTGTCTTATTTTTATATCGAATTAAAAAATACGTAAATTTCTCTTGTATTTATATATATAGATAATAATTTGTATACATTTATATGTACATATATTTATACGACCCGTTATAATTTATATATATATATATTTTTATAATCATATGAGGCATAATGTATGTGTGTATATATATATATATATACACACACACACATTTATATATTCCAGCTCACTACTATTCTGCATATGAAAATTAATAAAAAAATTCTAAATCTTTTCTTCTTTAATTTCTCTAAATCTTTTTCCATTTATGAAATAAATATATTTTAACTTATACATCTTTTTAACAATATCTATTGACCAGATACTTCATAGTTATACTATCTATTAATATATAGCATTTTCGGCTCGATCGATTTTACATCAACTTGTGTTGAATTAATGTTTGCTATTGGTTGACGTCACATATTCTACCAAAAGGAGAGCACGAAACGTCGTTAATTCAACCCAAATTGGTGCAAATCCGATCGGGCCGAAAACGCCAATACAGAGTTCGTAGATCATCGAAGCAGCAATTATGATTGAGATCAAGCGATGCGAGCTAGGATACAGCTTTAGGGTGATGACAGCTTGACGATGGGGAACATGAAATTAATTCCCGAATTCAAGGGGAAACGTTATTTTAAATATAATTTTTTTTCATGTGTACTTCAAAATATAACGCTAATACTTATTTTAACAAAAAAAATTGGATTAATTAATTTTATAGCTTCTTAAATGTGTTAAATTGTAACGTTGCTGCAATATTACATTACAATATTTCTGCAACATTCCTACAATATTTCGGTGCTGTATGGGTAACAACTTTTTACATGCTACAATAGCCTTCATATCGCTTGAGCGGAGCAAGGCAAACTACGAAATTTCGTTACGAAACTTTCGCAACATAATCGTTCTCCACTCCACACGCGTTTCCGCGCCATCTTTCCTTATTTACTTATTTTTTTTTCTCCCTATACGAGCAGCCGTGCTATACCGAAAGCCCGCGTGTGCGCGTCATGCACGATGCCGCGTTTTAACGGTTACGTTATACGTTCGGGTGCGAGTACTTCGCTTCACGTGCATCGACATGAAAAAGCGTCGATACATTTATTTTTTCTCTTCCTCCGACACGCTGAGGAGCGTGATCTCGCAACTCGCAACTCCACGTTATCGTCCCGTCCTCGCCCTCCACTTATTCGCATCGGTTCCCTCTCTCCGCGCGCGCTTCGTACACCCACTCTTTGTCCCGCGTCCCGCGTCGTTCGCGGCGTTCGCGTACTTGGTCGTTCGCGAGGATCGGCACCCGGCGGTTATAAAACACGGCGACTGTGACAAGTGCACGCGACACAGCATGCTACGAAAACGCGACTGCCCTGCACCGGCCACTCGTATCCAACGCAACCTCGTGTGACCGGCGTGACGCGGCCGCGTTACAGATCTTCGAAATCGCGATTAACGATCTTTGATATCTATCAAACATCGTACAATGTACTCCCGATCGATTCGCGGAAGCGCATCGCTATCTCACCTCTCCGAGTGTTCCTCCGGTTTTACTCGTCGCGATAATGCCACGGCGTGTTGCTCGCCGAACGATCGGACTGGACGGTCGTTTCCCGCGGCTTTGACGATGACGACGACGACGACGAGGATGACGATAGAACGAGGCAATATCGTCGAATCCGTGGAGATCGACGGTCGCGCGTGTCCGTCCCGCGCTCGCGCCTTCTCTCTCTCTCTCTTTTGTTCTCCCTCTTCTTGCTCGTTCAGCGTTTTACGATACTTTATCCGCTTTATCCTCGTGAGATGGTGCAGGCGAAGATTGTCGGCCACGCGCTACCCTTCGACGACACGTCTATATCCTGATATATCGCGCGCCGGTCAAGCTCAAGACTCGCGAGAGATCGTTAACGTTAGTTTTTTCGTAATTGCGACACGAATTGGGTGGTGGCCCCGTGGCTGACCGTGCGCGCGCTATGCCGCAGAGCGGGACGATTTTCTCCGAAGCCGAACCCGGGAGTGACTAAAATCGAAATCGGTGAACGAACAGGGGCGCGTCAGGACGCGCATGTGCGACGGCGTCGCCGGTCGTCGACGCATATTGTCCGTGCCGCTGCCGCGTCTCTTCGGGTCTCCGACTCTCCGCTCCGCACGTCCCAGCACTCCCAGCACGTCCGCTTCGCGTCGCTAGCGTGTCCGTGTCCGTGTGCGCACTGCGCGCGCGTGCGTCATGCGTGCGCCCAGCAGTCTCCTTCTCTCTCCCTTCCACTCTCAATCTGCCGTCCTCTCTCGCTCTTTCTCTTCGCCGTCTGCTTGAAATTACTAACCGACCTGACGATGTTCGATCCGAGAGTCCCGAAACGCCTCCGTCGACACGCGCGAATTCCGTTTCCGATCGATCGGAGCGTCGGCATTGTCGGCCGACTCTATCGGCTCGCAGGCTCGCTGCTTTCAGCTTCCGCTTCCTCTCACTGGTTTGCCGCGATTGGGTTGGAGCGCCGAAATCGTAGAGCGAATGTAATAATTTTTCATGTGATCAGAAAATATTATCATAAAATATATAAAGAGGGAGATGGAACGCGATTCGATTTGTGTTCGATTTTTACTTGTATGCGTGACAAAAAACGTATTAGCGTGCGCGCGTAGAATGAGCCGACGCTCGTCGCTCAACGGCGTCTCATAATACAGTAAGCAGAAACGTGACGGGAGCATTGTATTTTTGGAACTGAACGTAATTCATGAATGCGCGCGGATTCATCGCGGGAGGTGGACAAATGCATTCGTAACATTTTACTTCATCTCTATCAATTTGAAGGATTACAGATATAATGCAAAATGAATAAGTATCGCCGAGGGACAAAGACGAATTATAAAATTTACAAAAATTATCATTATGCGCAAAATGCCGTCCGATAACAGATAATATGTTAGGATTTAAATATCCCTATCTAGTGAGCATTATTGAAAGGACGAATTCTTTAAGATTACTTTTTAAGGACCTCATTAAAATCGCTTTAAAAGGACAACAAATTATCGTTCTTTAAGACATGTCTTAAGGTCGATAGAGAGATTATGGAGACTAGTCGGAGAGATTTTTTATGTTGAAATTATAGGCCTGTTCTTTTTGGCTGAACTTTTGCATCAGTTTATCTTTCTTCTTTTTCTCTCCGAGAGGAAATTGGTATCAGAATGGTCGAATTATATCGCGAAGCAGGTAAAATCTATGAATGCGATGATTGCCCTTCTGACAAAGGCTTATCGATCTGATCATACTAATTCGTTAATAAGTATGTACATACAATACGGGCAATTATATCGATTATCTACATTCGACACCTGCCTAAACATTTTCTTATGAATGATTCATTTAATAATGTAAATTATTTAAAAAATTAACAAGTAGTTAAAATGATTAGAACTCTTTGGAAAAAGCTTATGTACATTCAGACCTACACGAGAATTACCATAGAACTCACAGAACTGTCGGAAATCGGACAGCGTTTCACATATACCTAGAAAAGCGCCTCTTTCTCGAATGATAACAATTAAAAAATTAACAAATATTTTACATGATAAGAACTCTTTAGAAAAGATTTAAATACATAAAATGAGCTTAGCATAGTAGATAGCGCGCGAGTCTATCATGTTAGAGTATGCTAGAAGACTCGAATTCCATCCCCGGTAGATCCAAAAAATTTTCACACGCTCGTAGCTCCTCTTCAGCGGTCTGGCAAACCACCAAGAGTATCTATTGCCAAGAAAACCTTTCAAACTGCCGTTTGGAACCGCCATTAAATTGTATATCCTGTATGTCTGTGTGTGTGTATAACTTGCATGCGCATCACGGATAATACGTACGAGAGGTAGGCCCTGTTCCGACTTTGGCATGTGGCATCATCGAATGAATGAATGAAATAATTAAAATGATTAGAATTTTTAGGAAAGCGTTAGAATACATTTAGAACTACACGAGAATTGCCATAGAACTCATAAAACTGTCGGAAATCGGTCAGCGTCTCACACATATTCCCTAAAAGGCGCTTTTTTCGCGCTATAAAAATTATTTAAAAAATAAACAATTAATGTATATGACCAAAATTCTTCAGAAAATGTTAGAATACATTTGGAATTATACAAGAACTATCGTAGAACAGAATTCTTCAAAATCGGATAACGTTTCATCTTCTTTCCTACTACTTTTTAGAGGAAAAAAATTGTTTAAAAATCAGAATAACACAATGTTAATCACCAGAACTCTCTTTAGAACCAAGTGTCTTTTTAAATCCTACAAGAAATTGTGGCTAGAACTTTTGTTAGACAAAATAAGCTCTATGTGAACCTGGCATCTCATTTTGGATTTTTAAGTTCTCGACTTTAATTGGCCGGAACTATTTATTTAACCTATATAGAACTACAAAACTATTGAAAATAAACTCAGAACTCTCAATATTTAATAAGTGAGACGCCAGTTTCACACACGATGAACGTTATCAATTTTTTGTTAATTTCATATTATGTAATAATACAATAAAAAGTACGTAACATTCTTCTTTTTAAGAGTAATGAATAGATTTCTCATTAATAAATAAATCTATTTGACTTTATTTCTAGGATAAGGAAAGAGAGAGAGAGAGAGAGCGAAACACTTACTCATAATGATTCATTATTTTTAATGTAATTTTTGTATGTGGTAGCATAGTAATTATATAATATTAATTAAATTAATTATACATATTAAATATTATTTTTTGTATGCACTGTGTAACCGAATAACAATACAGATGAGACTAGTAGAAGGAGACCTTCATAGCACTACCCCTCTTTTACTCCTTGGCGCAAAATTAAGATTATTTGTCATTTTTTATGTTGTTAATTAATACGGATATTCCGTTACATTTATGTTTATTATTTTCAAGTTATCTCTTATTCTCGAAGCACGACAGCATTGATTTTAAAACAGAAAGGGGGAAGCTCGCTCTGATTTTATAAATCAGTTTAAAGGAGTGATTGATAAGCTAATTGAATAAATAAAACAAGGCATTAGTATATCACCGTCATCTCAAAGGCATGGGCAATGATGAATTATCAGTTCAAAAGTACAACTGTCTAGAGAATTAATCATATTTTTAGACATGAAACGATCTTCCAAAAATATTCAGACAATCAAATTGTCAAAAGTGCATTATGCAAAATTACTGCTATAAGTTTTGTCGTTGTATGACAATATGGTGACAGATTGATCGCAGAAGCCAAAAAGAATATATTACTCCTTGACCAATCAAATAATACATTCCATTTCATTAGCGATTTTTAATAATCTGGTAGATTACTTCCAAGTAGTCTACTTGCATCATGCCACAGTCTATTAGCTTTCAAGATTATAGCGAAGTTAGCGAAAAGCGAACTGATTCGAATGCAGTCAATCTGCTGTGATGTTCCGTTTGAATGTATTTGATAAAGTGTATACTTGATATACTGCTAATATCTTGCTCACTATTTCATATATTATTTTCAAGATGTATTGTAAATATATATCGGATGAAACTTAAAATTGATGTTTTATCGTCATCAATTGACAATTTATCTATAAATTTTTATACATATATTTCTACATAAATTTTCAGTAACTCTAATTTACATTTCAATGCTTACATTTTTATATCGCATATTAGATTGATAACTTTAGATAGTTCATTAAATTGCCAATGCCTTCAAAATTTGTCAAATGTTGATTCTGTGACAATATGTGTAAGATACATAGAGATATTTCATTAAAATAGACTGTAATTGTAGCGCAGATTTTTTTAAAACAAGTCTTCGTAATAATGTTGACCTCTCATTGTTCTGATCAAGATATGTTTAAAACAGTTAAAAGAATTTAGCATATCAGTGGCAGTTTAAAAAAAAGTTATACATTTGTTGTCGCAGCGGTTGTATGTACTTATATTTGGTCTAACATCTCTATTATACGGTGTCGTTTCTACGTAATCAAATTTCTTGCATGTGTTTATTTCGAAGTCGATAGCAATTTTCTCGTCTCTATACGCGTGATCGCGAGTCATCGTGCGGTCGTAGCAAAATATCTATCTAGGTATCTTATGTCACAGAGTAAAAAGGAAAGAGAATGTCAAATACCGACTATATAAAAACACGACGGATTCTTGGCGCCGTGTGTTATGAGAATGGTGGTTACTCGCGAGCCATTTTACCATACTGAAAATCGATCAGCTCGACTAAAAACGAGCTTGCATCGTTAACAACGATCGAGTGTGTGTGCCGATATAACTTGGCTCCTTTTGTTTATTAGAAATTGACATTGTGCAAAGTATATTGATGTACGATGACGCTAACGAAATAATCATGGTGATGCGCGTTTATTTTTATTCTAGTGTAATGGAACCTCGCAATGACGATTACGTCATTATACGGAACTCGACAACCATCAATTTTCATGACGCGACGGTTCGCATTGGGGCAACAAGAAATAACATCGGTAATGTAATAATAATTATTATAATATATGCAAAGTGTTTGGAGCGTACTTATATACTCGTGGGAGAAACAGTTTCATCAGCTGGATACTTGTCCAATCGAATCATAACCGATCTCTTTCGAGAATCAAGTATCTGTAACCGGCGTTGTTACTTGTCGACGGTTATCAACATCGAAAAGGCCAATCGATGGATGTGTAGGTAGCGCTTTATCGTCGAGGAAGCTGAGCAACGAGGTTGAAGAACAAATCGCACCTTTAAATAACGGCCGCTGGTTAACAGCTTTGTTTTACGCTGATCGCGATCATCGATCGGGCTCGTTCTGAGCCGTCAAACAATCAAGCGGCACATGCGAAGTACGATGGACAACAGCGAAAAGAAGACTCCTCGCGCTGCAGACTTGCGTAACAACAGGACTCGTAGCATTATTACTAGTATCCCGAGTTGCACGGCTTTGTGAAGCCAATACAGTCTGTAAATAGATAAATAAATAAATAAAGATTCGAAGAATGACATATAGCCTTCTATTAAAAAAAATAAATAAATAAAGTTGTTAAATTAATTTTTAAATCATGATTTGTAAGAACATACATTTAAAAGTTATTTATCAAATAAGTGAAATAAAAATGAAAGAAAAGGAAACGTGCGTAGAAAGAAAGGACACAAACTCTCAAAATATGATATATATTCTATAATGAATTCTAAAAAAAAATATATATAAATTTTCTAGTATTCTATTATGAAAATATTAAAATATTGCGGATGATTCAAGAATTTTTAATATTGATTCTAACTTCTGAACTAGAAGGTTTACTCAAATCTTGTGAAAAAGTTCTTTGAGAATTCTCGGATTTTTAAATATTTTTAAATTAAAAATTTCAGATAAAAAGTTAGATTTTTAATGTATTAAATTAGAATGCAACAAGGCAATGCGAACATATAGTAAATGAGTGGAATCGATTCCATACAAAATAATGTCTATCATTGTCATACAAGTGAAACAAAATCTATAAGATACTAAGAGCAAAAGCTCACTACAGTGTTAGTATCAGTGAGCATTATATTTGTTTCCCTGTGTATTGTTTTCAGTTATCCTGATTTTTTTTAATAAAACTTTATACAAGGGTATGCATGTAAATATATGCGGATGTATATGGCATATTATTACTAACCGATTGTCAATAATTTGTATTATAAAAAAATAACCAAAGAAATAATTTTTTCAGAAAGAGACAAAATTTAAATTTAAAGTAAAAATCCAAAAATTATTTTGAGTATCAATAAAATTTTATGAAAATCCCTAATTTTCAAAAGTAAAAAAGGCATCTTCTGATAATTCATTCTTTAAAATTTTTCTGATAGTAAATACTCTGCGAACAGACTCTAGGAAAGAGTTCTGTCTCTTAGGGAGACTGTACTGTAGTAAAAAGATTGAAAAGCGAAAAAATATATCTTACTTTGTGATGTATGAACGAGCAGCTGGCAGTGTGTCTGGACTCTCTTTTAAGATAAACTGTCGTATACCCAGAATGTAATGCTCCAAGTACGATGGCCAGTAAATTTCTCTGACGTCAAACATGAATGTTTCCCGATCTTCCGGACTGAGTTGTTCACCCAGTCGTCGTACGTTGTCGTCTCTAAAATTCCACTGTTTCGTACTGAAGTATTCCAAACACTTGGCGGCTTTGGAAAGTTTCGTCTGTACGCGGACCATTATAGGTCGCGAACCCTTGAGTCGAGCGAGAATATCTAAGATATACGCAGGTAGCGTATGCTGAAATATCACGCACAATTTGTTTATTATCATGGAGCTGTGACAGCGACCGTCCGGATACCAGAGCGCATCGTTCACCGGGTGTAGCCGACAATATTTGAATGACAGGTCGACGAACTGTTTCCAGGTTATAGGATTTTGTTGACCGGTGCAACAGTTATAAATTGGAATGGTGTCGGTACGCTGCGTAGCGGTCCTCCATGCCGCGCAAATCATTAGGTTGATCACAATGTCGACGGGCACCAGATCCGCCACCTTATCCTCGTGACACAGCATAGTTCTGAAAGAAACCACGATTTCTACAATAAATTTATTCGAAAATAATAATTTACAAAGATTATGAGACATCACGCTACTAAAATAACAATATCTCTACTTCAATAATAACTATTCTCATTGTGGCTCGCCGCATAGAATATTTTTTGGGATCAGATTAGAATTCAGTTTCCTAAAAAAATCGTAGATTCTGATTGCGAAATCTATGAAGATTCTGATCAGAAGTGTAATGTTTTGTAAATTAGATTCTAAATGGGAAATCTAAACAGATCCTGAATGGGAAATCTAAACAAATACTCAAATTTTCTTCTAATGTAAAAACGTATCTTGTAAATTTAATTAAACAAAAATGCGTTTCATTATATTTAAATTTAGAAGAATGTAAGCTAAAACGAACATTTGTGTTTCCTTTATTACATTAATAAAATGATTATAATTGAATTGTTACCTCTGTGTTAATTATTTATAAATAAATTGTATAATACATAGATTGTATAATAAATAAATTGTTTACTAAATTAATTTTATATTAATTCATACACTTTTTTAATCAAACAAATCAATGTACAGTACATAATTATACTAAATATAAATAATGCTAATACAGTTAAAGTATAATTTAAATAATATTATTGCGATCACAATATTATTTAACTCTATAATAAATAATAAAAGATAGGATTACTACGGGTAATTGTGACAATGAAGGTAAATGTGACATGCATTTGAATAAAAAACAAATTTTGGGGTTATTTTTATCAAAAACATAAAAAGTATAATTGTTGATAACCTTCAATGTTGTTATTTGATAAAAATAATCCTTATACAATTTTTATTTTTTATTCTATTGCAATGCAACGAATTCCATGTTTAATAGATATAAAAATGTGATTTTCCATTCGATTTCATATATGTATATATGTATAAAATCGATTCTAACTAATGATACAGAAAGAACCATGTGAATTTCTGCACTGATCTATTCAGATTCTAAACAGAAAATCCAAATTTGAGATAAAAATAGATTTCCTAATTTGTATCGCAGTGCGATTTACCTATTTAAAACAAATGTGGATTTCCCACTCTATTTCCATATAAGAATGACACAATTTTCATGAAAAAAAGGAAATGCGAATTTCTATATTGTTTCTGTTTCGATTCTAAACAGAAAATCCAAATTTGGGATAAAAATAGATTTGCTAATTGGTATCGCGGTGCGATTTACTTATTTGGGCATTCTAATCAGAATCTAAGATGTATTTGGGAATATTTTGGGAAATTTCTATGCGGGTCAGCGCAATTGATTCGTGATCTGTGGATTCGAGTTCGATCCCACCTGCGCCCCATATACGCGATTTTTCATGTTCGCCGTTCGGATTCGGCGTTAAACTGTAGGTCGTCACGAGTGTTGACAAACTCTAAGGAGTAAGAATGCAAACTACTACCAAATACAAAAACATAAGCGAGCCTCCCCTCCCCGAAGAGGCTCTAAAGCTAAATTGATACGCATGGTTCTGTGACTCCTCAAAAATGGGGTCGGAAAATCAAACTCGGGGAATATACAAGAAGAAGAACTATTCTCATTCTATTATAATATACTGATATTATAATCATTAATAATGGCTAGTCGTCGTGATTACCTGAAGAAACCTTTCCCAGCGGCGGCGATAATCCCTGTGGGGCCGTTGCAATTGTCCACCCAACCGGCAACTGGTTCTCTGTACGACGACAGTACGATCGATGGCCTGACAATCGCCACCGGTAAAGAACCTTTTTCCCGCTGGAGCATTCGCTCGGCCAATGCTTTGGTAAATGTGTATGTATTTGGTCGGCTGGCGATCAGATTCGGTGTAAATTCTTCAAACATTTTGTCGTCCATCCACTCTGTCAGAGCGATCACCTGATCGGGTTCCCGTCCCACCGGATAAATCTCTTCGGCAACATCGTTCCGATCGCAATTGCAGTATGCCGTTGATACATGAATGAATGCCTACGATCAAACAATTATATTTATCGTACAGTCTTATACATACACATTGCGAAAGGTATAGACTATGAACGCCCATCTTTTGCCTTGTGTCGATCGAACGTGCGCTCCTAATGATGATAATGCGTAAAAATGTGTTGACGGGGAAAGTTCTAAACAAAGTTTGAACACTTAAAAAAAAAAAAAAGAAAAATACTTCAAAAAAGAACAAATATCAATATGTCTGATGATCAATTATACAGTGCAATGAATATTAAGTTGTACAAATTCTCTGTTCGCTGACTGTTACATAAAACTAAAAGAAATCATGGAAGTCATCAAAGACAATCACTTGCGACTTTTCAAACGCTTCATTTGAATATAAAATGCGTATGCATAAAATAATAAAATATTATGTCTTCAATTTAAAACATCTTTTGAAATTTTCATAGTATTACTTTGACACTTTCATCATATTTCATTCGCACTAATTCATTGATTAATCTACTATTATCATGAAAACAAATGAATTGTTAAATGATGAACGATCGGTGTATGATTTAGGATAGAATCGCGCGATACAATTAGAGTGCAGAGTACAAATACACTCGTACATAAACCGGCTCTATTTACCTTTTGAAATTTGTTGACACAAATCGAATGTATTTCGCTATTAAGCAGAAACTTAGACAGATTAGTTGTTGATTAATTAAAAATCGATGTGGTACATCACACAAGCAAATAAAACGAAGCATTCGAAAGATTTTCGAGAGTATATATCTCGAATGTGTATCTTTCGAGATGAAGTAGAAGTGTAAACCATCCATAGACAAAAGACACTGTAATCTTTTGTAAAGAGCACATTTGTAAAAAAGAAATCGCTACAGATTAATCTTTTATTACGCAAATTCGATTTACAACTGCAAACTAATCTCGGCTCAATGTGGTGTTCGGTTGAATTAAACAATTAGAAGAAAAAAATCTCTTACCTCCACATTATGCATGCGGTTGCATAATTGAACCAATCTTTTGGTGCCCAACATATTTATGGTAACCGAGAGCTTCAAAGCTTCGTCAAATTTGACGGTAGCTGCTGAATGAAAAACGATCGATACGGATCGTATTAACATATTTTGATCATCTGCTGAAATGCCCAATTCTGGCTCCGTAATATCGCCAGCTACGGGTATGATTTTAGAAAGTTCGCCAGGAGAATCCCGCCGTAATTTTTCAAAAAGCTACCGAAAATAATATGATTTTAATTTTGTCGAAAATGATCAAAATAAGTGATGAAAAAGAAAGATAATATTTACCGGTCCGTTTAAAAGTTCTTGTAACCTCTCTTGCACATTTTGGCCCTTTTTAGGTCTCATTAGAAGATAGATATTTTTGATATCCGGACACGATCTCAGTAGCTTCTCGACGAGAACCTTGCCCATGAAACCTGTTGCTCCAGTTATGAAAATCGACCTATCTCTGTAAAAGTCCTTTACGGATGTGTATTCACTTCCAGCCATCGTGGCCATATCACTATTTGCCGAACACGGGCCTTTAAAAAATATCAGAGATTAGAAAAAGACAAAAAATTTATACCTAAAATATAATTATTCAGTATAATTTATTTAATTATTATTATGGTATATCTTACCTGAATTATTTCGTTCAATTTCTTTAAATTACTTTCAGACAGAAAGTACTTTACACTTCTCTGTTACCGTGAGAGTAACGTTGTCTTCCACGTTTCTACTTCCGTTTCTATATTTTTTACATGAAATCATGAATGTTAAATTTGACATTGAAATTCCATTGTTAAGATACTTTTCATTTCTTTTAAGATTATAAAACATGTACATATTAAATAAAATATGCATAAACATAAAATTAAAATATTAATCAAGTACAATATTAATGGCTATACAGAGTCAAACGTTGTTATCGGTGCATACATTATGTACAAATATATCTTTGATACAGAAAATTCGAATGTTTCAGTCCCATAGATTGGAACACAATCATAATTTAAAGTGAGTTTTTTAAAACAAATTTTTTTCTCGTGACGTGTAGCTTGAATTCTATTTTGTTACAAATTTCACAGACATACTTCCAAGGTTTAAGATTAATCGTGTCACACTTTCATTCCAACAAGTGATGGGCTTATCTCTGTTGGCACATGAGAGGACATAATTGTGACTTGATTAATATTTTAATTTTATATTTAACATAAGAGGAGTCTTTAATTCAATTAAATTTTGATTATTGTTATTCATTTAAAAATATAAAAATAAAAATATATTATTTATATAAAAAATATTCGATTTTAATTGTATCCCAAGTATTTCAGTTGGTTCTCCTTTTTTTTTATTTCAAATAAAAGTTACATAGTTTTATGAAAAAAATGTGATGCGTACAATTATTTTTTTCAACATTATTATTTTTTAAATCTGTAAAATATATTATTTTTTACATAATTCTCTAGTCTCATTCTGTATACATATAAAAGATATTAAAATAAAATAACAAAAAAATCATAAATTTTTACATTTTCTATTTTATTTTGATTTTTATATCTTATTTTAATACATGTTATTGTTCTGTGTATAAAAGTATTGAAAATATATGACACGTATATTTCCTGCAAAAAATTCGAAATTAGAAATGTATTAATATTTATATTTTCCTAATATAAAAATAGATACTAAAACTATATAAAACAGTCATGACGTTAGTGTTTTTTGTAAAAATGGAAAAAATCAGATAAAATGGAATATCGACGATCGCTATAACAAAAATTTACAAATTGCGGTTTGAATTAATTAACTACCCACCGTATTCACCAGATCTGATCTCCAACGACTTTTTCCTAAGCTCAAAGTTAAGCCTTCTACAATGTACTTTTTGTTTCTTGGTTTTTGTTATTTTTTACATCTTGTCTTTTTGCTTCCTATCCGGTTTTTTGTTTTATATCGCCTGAGATAAAAGTTAACAAACTTCGAAAGAAATAAGAAATACAATTGTCGACAAACCGATTGCAAAGGAGAAAAAAGCAAAAGATAAAAAACAAGAAACAGGAAACAAAGAGCATATTGTAGAATAGACTTTAGGCTTGAAGAACACAGATTTTCATCAAATGGAAACACTGACATCGACTGGCACAAATGACTTTCAAACAACAACTGAGCGTCCAAAATGGCTACAATTTTCACAAATATCTTGCAAAACATGTACAGCCGGTCACAGAAAGGTTGCAACACTTTTTTTTCGATGGGTTTCGGAATTCACAATCAGCCTTGCTTATAGAGCAGTTGAACGTAAATGGTTAGATCCATAAGAACCAATCGTTCAGGGCAAACTGTATTCCGAAACTCATCGAAAAAAAAGTGTTGCAACCTTTCTGTAACCGGCTGCATAATTATAGTAAAACCAGAATTTGTAGAAAATCAGATTTTGACGAGTAATGCCAGCTTCATGTTGAGGCAAACTTTTCAAACGACCCTCGTATATGTAATATATATGTATTTTATATTTATATGAGTAGTAGAAGTATTCAACGGATCTCGCATTATTATTTGAACAAACTATGTTTAATTTATAGAATTAAGATTGAAAGCCTAGAAAAAAAAAATTAGTTTGAATGTAATTTACATAAATATGTATGCTTAGCAAAAATTTAGAATAGTAACAGAGTAATAATTGGATAAGGACAGATGTATACGTTTGAATGAGACAGAACGATAATGTAAGAAACTGAGTTTGAAATTAAAAAGTCTATATTATCAACATCGATCAAGTTTAACCATCGCTCCAGCATCCCCAAACAATAAATTTTTTTATTTTTTATGTTATTATTTTTCAAATTTTAGTATTATAACAATAAAAAATAACTTCCAAAATTATAAAAATTTTATAAATTGAGCTCTCGAGATAAAAAAAGATAAAAAGTATAAAGACTAACGAGCAATAATCAACGCAATTGTTCGTGCGCAATAATTAACAAGTGTATTGTTCTAAACGTTACATATAAATGAGAAGAATCAGACGTTTCGGCTCCTTTCGAGCCATCATCAGCGATGTCCTATGATAGATTACAATTAATCGTACCTCGTACCGAATAAAATATGTTTAAAAAGCAAAAAATAAAAAATAATTTCCATACATTTCCATTAGAGATATAAAAACAAACAAAAAATACTGATATTAAAATAATTTTTTATTCAAGTTTTAAATCACTAGTAAAATATTTTTTTTATTATTATTTTTAAATGCAATCTAGAATAATCTGTAATTTTTTTCATTACTTTTTCATTATTTTGAAAATATGTGCAATACATTCTTAAGGCACGTTACCTGTTTTATTCCACCAATGACTTACCTGATCCTGCTTTGATGATTGCTTTTAATTTGTTTGGTTCTTGTGAGAAACGACGTGGTGGTAAGATAGCCCTTATAGATAAGGATATAGCACCTGCGTATGGCGCGACGGCTCCTTTTTAAATATGTATATGTTGTACGGTGATTCTTCAAGCGGCTTGCGATTAGATTCAGTGTCCATCGAATTCATATCGCGTCCTTTGCTGGCAAACTCGTTGTTTCTGTATACAAAATAAACAAGATCTTTTTCTGAGATTTCGAATTACGCGCAAGTCATTTAATCAAATTTAGTCAAATAAATTTTTAAGACATATTTTTTTTAAAGTTTTGACATAAATTTAATTTAATCAAAATATTCTTGTGTACAGTCTCATGTTGTAATAGAGTGTCATGAGAAACAATATCTTACGAATGCATTTATGTATCAAATAATAAGAACTTTTTTAATTGTAAAATTAATTCGAGGAATTAAATTATAAACATTAAAAAAAAAAATTTTAAATAGGATTAAATTTAAAAAATTGATAATTATAAGAGGGCTATTCGAACCACGCTGAATATTATGTGCAAAATTTGAATTACAAACTTTATTTAATAAACTTCGTCACAACAAAGGTTTCGATGTTTTTAATATGATCATCATTAGTGTACGCTTTCAAATATGTCTATTGGTCGGGCGAATAAATTAAAAATAAAAATTAATAAAATTACATAAGTGTTAATTAGTCGGAAGAACAAATATTCTTCTTTGTACGTTTTATGCTATTTCTGTGTATAAATTTATTGCCATAGTCTCATGAGATCGTCAAACTGTCCAACTCAAGGATATATCGCTCATCAACCATTGTCACTTTTATGAGACAAATTATATCCTCATAGGTACTATAATGGGAAAGTAAATGCTGAGTAATAAGTAACAATATATGAAAAGAAATATATATATTAATATAATTTGAACTATAATTATTACCTCAATCTTTAAGTTAGTCGGTTTCAAGATTTAAAATGTGAGATATTTGCAGGACATGTGTCTTAGGTCATCATAATAATGAGATACCAGACATAAATTATTAAAATATGTGGGCGATTTAATAAGTCTAAAATATGGCACCACCAGTATCGAGATTATTTTTAGTATCTGACAACTCTTGGAGGATTTGAAATAGATACAAAGTCCAAATTTGGAGAATAGGGGGTATGCGAAAGGACTTCGTAGCATAAATCGAACAATTTTGTGGTCACACTACACGAAATTCTTTCTGTGATTCGTTTTTCGCGAATCACGATATTTGATCGATTCAAATGAACGTCAAGCACAGAGCAGTAGATTTATCTCACTGAAATTTGGTGTATGATCCTCCAAGAGTTGCCAAATACTAAAAATAATTTCGATACATACTGGTGGTGATGCCATATTTTAGACTTTGCACGGACTTATCAAACCACGTATATTGGAGTGTCTTGAACAGAGGTAAGCATAAATACTTTAAGTGGGGGATAGAAGACCCAGGACGGAGAGATAGACATCTGACAAATTATAGATGTCACTTTATTTATTTATCCTGCTTTTTTTTTTATGTATATCATTTTAGCTACCACTCTCTTCCGATAAGATGACTCATTATTTAATATTTTTACGTTTTCCCATTTAAATTCATGTTTTTTTGTTAATCTGTAGTCAGATATTACAGAAAAGCAACCGTTCCTTCTTATTAATGTCTATTATATATTCATGAATTCTAAATTTTAGCTGTCTTTTCGTTTGACGATCTCATGAACATAGAAATAGCGTAACGTACAAAGAAGAATATTTCTTCTTTCGGCTAATTAATACTTACGTAATATTAATTAATTTATTTTTAATTTATTCACCCGATCAATAGACATATTTGAAAGCGTACACTGATGATGATTATGTTAAAAAGATCGAAACGTTTTTGTGATGAAATTTATTAAATAAAATTTGTTATACAAATTTCGCACATAATATCCAGCTCGTATAGCCATTATAATTATCAATTTTTGAATTTATGTTCTTGTGAGTCTAACTTAATTTGTGTAATTTTTAAAATAAGAATTGAAGAATTCTTGACATAGGTATATCATGTTTTTCTTAACTTTTCATATCATTTCGTATTTTCGACGCAAACGTTTACAGAATATTCTTGAGCAGAATCTCTTCTTCTTATCGCATTGTAATCGCAAGGTACCGTGAGAAAAATTGGAAATGTTAAAAATGCAATTTTGAACATAAGAAATAAGGAATGTATATAGTGTCCCGTGATTCACCTGACAACGCTCGTGGACAGGTAGAGCGGACTAAACTGAGTCGAAAAGTTCTCTACCATTTCGCAATGCTCGTAATAGTTAACGAGATATTAACGTTTAAATATAGACGAATACGCGCGTCCGCCCGACCTACTATTGCCGAAGGTACGGCCCACCGACCGCACGTCGCGCGGGCCGCGAAGAG